TGCTACGTTTCTTATTCATTAAATGCGATTAGGATGTTACACGATTGCGTACCACTGTATTAGTATTACCAAAAAAATAAAAACAAAAAATTTACATCATATCAACAAATTACTCCTAAATTTATTTGACGATTTGTTTTTTTTATGAAACAAGGTTACTTTTTATCCACCATTAAACTTACAACAGCACATATTCTTGCACAATTGGTCGCGGTATTTCCCTGGAAGCCAGCCCATTAGTGTAACTATCTACTCAATGAGTTGATTAAAAAACCGCATTTATCTTTGCTTATAAGTGGATTATAAGTTTTGGAAAACAGAAAAAGAAAATGATCATAAATATTGTCTGAAAATCTACTTTCTTTAAAATTCTTCAGCTTACATCAACATTAAAATCTTTGGAAGTAAAGATAGTTGGAAAAAAATTATCTATTACTGTTAAAACATTGAACGCATGTTATTTGTTTGCACTCTCAAAAGAAATATAACGTATAATATGCGTGAGAAAAATATTTTTTGTAACAAATTTTTTGAACAAACAATTTTTTGTAAAATTGATGTTTAACTTAAAACAAATTTTATCAGCAAATATTCTTTTAGACCAAATGTTTTTTGCCGGTCTTGTTATTGTGTTACGGGCTTGTGCAACTTTCCATCACGCCGATCACCTCCGAATAAAAAGTATTGCAAATTCGTTTAATAAAAAAAAGAAAGACAAAACTAACTTTCACTCTCGAACCGAGAAATGTATGACGTCATAACATCCGTGCAACATTTCTAACCGATTACGCGACGATCGTCATTTGTCTGGAATTTTTTGGAACGATCCGTAAAGAGCAAGCGATAAAATTTAACGTCCACATGCGAAAGTGAATGGGATTTGGCTTTTTTAAAGAACAGGCGAATACTAATGCACGTTTTTATGTTTGTTTCATTAAAAGACTTTCACTTACAGTTGTTTTTTTCCAGTTCAGGCAATTAATGCTTTATGCTTCATTTATCAATTTCTGGATAAAAGTCGTTTTATGGTTGTAATAATTATTGTCTCCATTTTCATGAGTAAATTGCAGATTAAATTAGTATAAAATAAAATGAAAGGTACGTTCATATTTTTTTACTATGTGAAAAGTTGCCAAGCGAGCAGACGTCAAAGCGCCCTAATGTTTAGTGAATATTATCTGCTATCAGGGTTCCAGATGCGTCAACCTTAGGGCCAACCTGACCAGACCAAACGCGAAAGTATTATACTTCAACTTTACGCCGGTCTTCTGTGAGGTCACTTAACCGTACGAGCCTGCCCATTCGTGTAACAGCCGAGGCTGCTGCGTGGCCCTACCACCGTCCAAAAATGAAGTTATGTTGTGATGTTCGTTGGCTCTTTCTTATTCTGCTTCATTGAAAACATCTTTGACCGATTATAAACGAAAGCGGACGTCATAATAAATGTTATAGGACATTTCCTTCTTTCGTTAAATTGTTAATCTTATACCATCATCATCATCCTAATGCCCTTATCCCCCCTAGGTGGGGTCGGCACAACATGTGAAACATATATTTTTACGACCGGCCGCCCTCCTGAATCGGCACAACATGTGAATCATGTTGTAAGTTGTTTTGGCTATATTTTTACGACCGGCCGCCCTCCTGAAGTCAACCCCATTTGGATCCTAAACAATTATTTTTAGGCCACACAAATACTTGTCCCGTGTGGGAATCGAACCCACGACCCCCGAAGACGAAGCCAATAGCTTACCAATGGCGCCACAAAATCATCTTAATTATTCATCTTATATCAGAACGAATTCGATATTCGTTCTGATTTATGATTAACGATTTATAGGAACACTTTTATTACTCTCTTTTCTTTTATTACTATCCCATTGGGAATTAAAGCTGTTGAGTTTATATAAACTATGCAGCTCTTTTCTCTCTTTACATAGGTGCCAACCCTACAGAACCACGAGATCATCGAATATCGATCCCTTGGAACAAGGTCAAAGACTTCGGGGTCTCTTTCCACTCCAGAAATATCATTTCATACTCACGTTAGGAGCAAGTCACCTGTTGATCAGCTGACATAACAGTCTAATGAACTATCTAAGTAAAATGTCCTAAAGGCATATATTTCTATCATAGTCTTAGCCATGATAATTCGTTGTACATATCAACGTTGCAATCGGTGCAAGGTGGTATCAAAGAAACGCTGATCTGTACAGAGGTTGCAGACTCCCCACGTTACGCAAATGACATATGCGAGGATAATAAAACAGTTCAAGAGAGCCGAAATACATTCCAGTCCTCTGCTGATAAATACAGAAAACTACCAACCGAACCTTAACGCAACTGCTCAGAAATGTCATCCACGTAACGTCCTAATCGACCCGATAGAGGAAAGGGAAAAAAAAAGAGGTTCATTTGATTCGGAATATTCTAGATGAGAAAAAAAATTAAGTTCCGTGTGAAAAAATTACAAAAGTTATAAACAATTTGCTAAAAAGTGACTTTAGTTTTTTATAAATATCTCAAAAATTAGTTAAGATTTTTTAAAATCAAAAGATTAAGTGGAGGAAATTTCCTAAAACATTTGGATCCCGAACTGTAAAAACCGTAACTTTTAACCTTAATTTTTTTTCAAAAATAATTCCGAATCGTATTCCGTACACCTCATTCATATTTTTTCGAGATTGTTGAAAAAGTTGAAGAAGAAAGCACTTGAAGACTAAATTACACATATGACATACCGCAACCAATTAATCCATACTCGCCTGCGAACCCAGCAACTGAATAATACAGTTAACGGCCATAGGGCTTGCGGCCCGTAGCATACATCGAAACCCCGTAAGTTACTTTCCTCTATTAGATAACGCATTCATGAGCACATATTCAAGGTCCTGCCTGAAGCGAAGGGCCGTTTCAAGCTCATGGGATCTGGCTATCCCACGAGCTTTGCATTCGATGAAGCTTCAACAGCCTACAGGTTGAAAACAGGAACATTAGACATATTAAAGTAAAGTAACTATTACAAATTGCTAGGTTTCTTATAACAAATTACAGTACTCATAGCGGGTAAGAAAACAAAATTTTGACAAAATTTGCAAATATCATTTCAGTATTTATTATAATTAGAATTTAAATTATTAAGAGAGGCCATTAATTAAGAAACAAGATGAATATTTTAGAAATCAAACTATGTATTGTTTTTGAATTTGTGAATTTGAATATTGGGAACTAAGCGTGGTTAGATCCACAATTTCACTTTTTAAATGGAACGATCAAAAATCAAATAGAAAGTGGACCGCAATTTAATGTTCTCGATTGAATCTACGGAATATTTGTTTATTATTCAGTACGCAACGCTACTATGTAGGCGGAATGTGTATCCTGTATGCCAATAGAATTTTTTTTAAGTAGTAAGCGTTCATATAAATTCGTCTAATTATTCCCACTACTTTTTCGATTATTTTTTCTGGGATTTACTGTAGTTATCACACCTGGCAAGGGGGTAGGTTAAATAATCAATAAATATACCAGGCTAAAATGGTGATTAATGTTCATTGGTAGTTGTAATATATATGTATATATATCGTATTACAAAGTGTTATAAATGTTTCTAATTAGAACAATGACAAATTCAAAACAAGGGCTTCATTGCCACTTTTGCATAATGACCTACATAGTAATAATAATAATAAACTCGTATAGCAATAATTAAGCTGGCACTCTATATTGTGAAAATTAATGGATCAGAATGAATATGCGGTGGTTTCACGGTTATGAGTATATGCTATGTTGTGTTTGCGAGAGAGAATTCTTATAGTGACTTAAGACCTGAATTTCCCCAATGGCTGCAAAATCATACGCTGATCACGTGTGGCACTTTCTAGGCCGATAAAAAATGTAGACTCCTATTTAAATCAGTCAGCCGGTTTTGTGATGTTAATTCGTATTAGCTTTTTGGTATTAATCTCAAACTTTACTTACCTGATTTATTTTGAACCTTTGCTATAAGACGTGACTTCATAACATTGAAAAGACCAGTGTTGTTGTTTGTTTTAATATCCCTCTAGAATAGTTATAGTTCACAATACTTTTTTGTTATTAATATAAAACAAGTGTACATGTTGCTTTTCCTTCTTTCAGATGCACGAAGACTGTTTGGCGGTTACAGAATAACACCAACGTATTGCAAAGCATCCAGGGCTGCCAGGTATAACAGGGGGAACACAATATGTATGTTTAATCACGAATGTACTCAACGAGGGGGAGAAGTCGTAGGAGCTTGCATGGATGGATTTTTATTCGGAGCATGTTGTCAACTCAAATCCGATAGCCAGTCGCATATTCCTAAGGGACCTGGAGTTGTTATTCCAGGATTTATGGATTATTCAGAAGCTGAGACTGAAGGCGAAGAGTACGACAATTTTGAACAACTAGATACATGGCATAATAGCTTCAAGCCTGTGGTAACACCTGGCTATCGGCCGAGTGATAAAAATACAGCCATGACTTCGACAAATTCTCCAATGGAATCAAATTTTAGCACTGAGAGGATTCAAGCTGCTATAATTTCGGAGGGATTAAATCAAATTACTAATACCTTGTTAAATTTGCCACCAAAAGATAATAACTACGTATACATTAAACCCGCAAAGCCAGACAGCATTTACACACACAGTACAATAGATCACGGTGGTCCTGAAACAATCCTTTTGCATAAAAATGGAACGCAAGTGGAAGATATTGCAAGACCTTCTGATTTTAATGTGCATGTTTCGTCAATGCAGACAAAACCCACAGTAACACCTTCTACAACTTCTCAATCATCGCCATCCCTAACTGTTTCTACACATAGGCCAATATTAAAACCTATTTTCAAACCAAAGCCGGTTACTAAAACCACGACTGATAATCCCTCTACTGAGAATTATGTAATGATTCCTACGGTAACAAAGGAAACACAAAAAATCACGGAATTGTCCTCGATAGATAGCATTATACAAATGTTAAACGAAAGCACACCGACCATGAAAGAAGATCTCAGCTCATCTGCTACTATAGACATGATGGAAACTAAGTCGTCATTAATCCCTTCCTCCACGCCCGCGTATCATAGTAGCGCATATCCTTTACAATACATAACTACGGGTCATTATGTAACAATGAAGCCATCATCATATCCAAGCATCAATGCTGCGAGTGTAGTTGCGAAACCTTCACCCAACAAAAAACCGTCTTATGGGATAATTTACACTACTCCAAATATTATATCACAAGACAATAGACCCGGATCAATAATACCCAATTTATCTACATCTAAACCTAGTCAGTCTACTAGTCAAGCGATTGAGGCATTTAATAGATATCCTACTGACCCAAGTGAATTCGGTCAGACTGTAACAACTTTTAGTTATGTAAGCTCAACTACAACAAAAACTACTCCAACAACCAGAAGACCGCCGTCAACTAGCTACGTAACAGGAGTAAAACCATCCAGGAAACCAGTTACAAATCCTGGGAATGCTGTTTCTACTTACGACGCGGCCCCGGATACCTTCTCAAGTGCTACACCAACTGTTATTGTATTAAATAGCCCACAGACGGACAGACCTGAATCGTCGGAAGATAAAGAACCAGAATTCGTTGAAATATCACAAGAGCCGTTCAAAAAACCTCTCAATCAAATAACGGTGAATAATCATATAGAATCTACTAATAATATTTTCGTTGGGAAACCATCTCAGACATTTGAACGTCCGGCATCGCCTACTGTGGTTATAACTCCTAAGCCTGCACCAAGTACTACTCCGTATCCCATTAAGTTATCCACCAGACCAGTCCCAACTTCAACACCAGATGTGTCAAGTTTTGACACTTACACCGAATTATATTCTCCAACAACACTTAAACCGGAGCTACAGATGTCACCCGATGACTCAATAAACTTCCCACCAGTAAGAAATCCAATGCTTAACGTTACTGGTTCCAATATATTCAATACAAGCTTCACAGATAATGATTTAGACGTATTACCCGATGTAGAATTCACAACGCCTACTTGGCATGAAGATGATAAATTGAACGAAAAGATGAACCTTTTCGTTAACAAAATAGTTGGAAGTCTTCAAGGAACTTTCCAGGAGCTTCATGACATTGTAATACTTGATAAAAAACCCAATACAACTATAATTAAGGACACAAAAACAACTACTTTGAGACCCACGAGAAAAACACCCGCTACAACGAGAAGACCCGTCACAACCACTAAGAAGCCTTTCCGGCTAACTACTACCAAGAAAACTCCTGTACGAACCACTAAAAAACCTACGAAGTTAACAACAGCAGCCAGAAGACCAACAACTACAGTTACTATCCAAACCACAACTAAAAAATCGGTAAGAAAAGTTTTATGACAATTTGTGTCGATAACACACTAATATTTTGTCATAAATAAATTAAAATAATATAATAGAATTAGCGATCCATATTATTAGGTGTACAATATGATCTAATTATTGGGTAATATCAATTATCACTTAATCAGTCCGGATAACTTCTGCTCATAATGACAGCGATAATGTGCGACCATACTTTGTCAGTACAAAGTGGGCTTGCTCTGGGCCTGTGATGAATATTGTTTTAGGTGACAACAACTAAAAAGCCTAGACCTACCAAAAAGGCAACAACGACTACTATAACCCCCAGCACTACAACCGAACTATACGATGACATAACAACGGAAAGCTACACGGAACAGACGGTGAACTACGATGACAGGCGCTGTAAGTAGAGTAAAATATTGTAATAACTACGTATATTATTAAACATATATAGTTTTTATGTAAGAAAGTGGCAAACGAGCTGACGGTTCACCTGATGTTACAAAGGTTTAATATATACCGCCGCCCATGAACATTTGCCACACCCGTAGCGTTGCAAATGCGTTGCCACCTTTATTATATGTTATATATTAATGAAGTGGGCCCCGGCTACCTCACCCACCAGACGAAACGCAGAAGTGTAACACTTCCACTTTACACCGGTATTCTCTGAGGTCGTGGTACTTCCTCGGACGGATCTACCCATTCGTGCAACAGTGAACACGGTTGCGTGGCCTGACCATAGTTAACAAACCATCTATTATATAGACCAATAATTTTTTAAAAATGTTATTAAAAAGAAAGGAGATAAAATACATTTACACTTTCGTTGGTGTGAAGATGATCCATTTAGCTCAGAGGCTAGAGCGTTGGCGCATATCCTGGAAGACACAAGTTCAAGTCCTCGCAGTGGCGAAAAACTGCTCGTCCATTTTTAAAAATTTTTCTTTTAAATCTGGCTGTTACCACAAAGAAGAAATTAGTATTGGCCATTTTATTTCATTCATTAATCACGAAATTACTCGAGCTAGAAAGTTAATCAAAACTCAAAACTAACATGCATAAATAAATGAAACAATCCGCAAGTTACTTCTAGATTCGTTACACTACAACAATTGTTTGTTCAATGTTAAAACATTTTGTTTGTTATAGACTTGGCCATAGATAATAACATGCAAAATGTGAATCGTTCGAATTCCAGTGTGCGGTGTACGGCCACTTGTGAAGTCAGGCCGCATTGTCGGCGGCAAGAATGCTTCCTTCGGCGACTGGCCGTGGCAGGTCCTCATTAGAGAGTCTTCGTGGCTGGGTCTCTTCACTAAGAACAAATGTGGCGGAGTGCTCATTACCAATCGCTTCGTCACTACTGCGGCCCATTGTCAACCGGGGTGAGTGGTTAAGGAACAACTGTCAACCGTTTGTTATTTTTTTATGTGATAGCAAGCAAGCTGGTTCACTCGATGTTAAGCGATTGCCGCTGTCCATGGAAAATACATAAACCATGATTGCAGATGCGTTGCACCTTTTTATAAAGTGGGTGGTACGCAAAAGTATGACACTTCCATTTCACGCCGGTTTTCTGTGAGGTCGTGGTTCCCCGGACGGACCTGCCCATTCATGCAACGGCGAATACACATTTTTATATAATAACTCTGTTACGTAGAAATTGCCAGTATTTAAGATCAAAGTATGGAGTGAAAATATACATTTTTTATGTCTGGAACGATACGGCCTAATGAAGTATAGTAAATTAATTGTAACTATTTAGCGAGTAAATGCAGCTAGCGTTTTTGCTACCATGATGCGTGTCCAAGATTTATTAGATAACGTGTAATTTAGTTACATTTATTATTTTTATGTGGTAATTAATGTTAATTGTAATAAAATATAATAAAAAGCATTAGGAAAATTATTGAATGAAATACTTAATTCACCTAATAAACATTCATTGCTTTCATTCGCATTACTAGATTTATAAACAAAAACAATAAACTGTCTGAAACATATTTTTATTGATATATCATATACTCGTACCATTACAATCTCTAAGGGTAAATTTCATTTAGCAGCTTCATGGGTTCGTTGGTAGCGGTTTTTGGTGAAAATGACATTTCGACAAACCTGGAGCCGAGGAGGCCTGTTGCGAAGAATGTAAGAAGGGTCATACCGCATCCAAAGTATGACGCAGCGACCTTTGAGAACGACTTGGCCTTGCTAGAACTGGAGTCTCCGATAAAATACGAACCGCATATTGGTGTGTATTTCTTTTATTACGAACTGGCCAGAGTCATAGTAGAAAGACCTTTGAATGTTGTAATTAATTGCAATAACACAATTATTGTCTGAAAGTTTTGAGAGCATTTTATTCTTTACCGTTCGTGAGTTGCTAAAGTGTCTGGGCGCGAAACCAGAAGACGCCGGTTCGAATCCCACAGTGCCAAGTTTTTATTAATTTGTTTTAAAACAAAATTACAATTTCTAGTTTCATCTTGAGTGAAGAGATTAGCGTTAAAAATATAAATTTATACTAAAAGAAATTGTTTCGAGATTCATATACGCCATATTTTTTTAAATCTAATAAGCCTTGATAAATGTTATAGATATTTCTACTGTTTATAACTTATTTACGTAAATATTATTCGTTTGGCATTAAGTGTTTTATTTAAAAGCCATCAATATTTTTTTTAGATGATTTGTTTCTTAAAGTTTTCTCTCAGTTAGAGCCAACGGAACATCACACATGAAGTCAATATTAACATTTATGTTCCCATTTTAGTGCCCATATGTATGCCGCCGGACGAGGCCGATTTCACGAATCGCATGGCGACAGTAACTGGTTGGGGAAGGCTTAAGTATGGAGGCGGAGTACCGGCTATTCTTCAAGAAGTGCAGGTAAAATCGTAATACCATTTTATACTCATTCCTACGCTCACACGTTTCTGCTTAGTGTACTGTAATAAGTCTCGCCATATATTAAGCCGAATGATTGCACAACAGATAACAATATCCCATCTCTGTCTATCGTTGAGATAAGGTGAGCTTTTATTTCGAGAAGTATTCTATGCCGTATTGAAAATACGCTTTGGTAAATACGCGGTGTAAAAACACCGCAATACTTAAAACTCTAAACTTTTAAATAGGCGAAGGAATCGATTATAACGACTAATCGTGAATAATCATCTTGATCATGATCCCTATGAAGAACGATTTATGTCGGATAGCTTTCACGTACTAACCAGTTGTTATAAATAAAGTCACGTTAATTTCACACATGTATAAGTATTTCGTATGACCACAGGTTTGTTGTTAAATTTTCAGCTGCGGTTTATAAACATATTCTTTGGTCATTTTCAGGTGCCTGTTATGGAAAATAGCCATTGCCAATACATGTTCCAGACAGCAGGTCATGCTAAGAAAATTCTTGATTCCTTCATCTGCGCTGGGTACTCGAACGGGAAGAAGGATTCCTGCGAGGTAACCTAATTAAAAAATAATTTATTTTCAATTGATTATGGTCTTCATTGCTCTATCTGCTTAGTTAATAATCTTTTTAGTCCATCCAAAGGTTGCCTGGATGAAATTACTCTTAGTAACAAGGCCGCCCATTGTATCCATCACTTCTACATTAAGTTTTAATTTTTGTTTGTTTTATTTTTGTTATGCAATAAAGTATATTCATTCATTCATTCATTCATAATAAATTTAAATTGTACACTCGTATAATTAACCTCCTGCAAGAAATTATAAGTCGTGTAGATTAAACAAACAATGTGCACAGTAAGAAAATTATCAAATTATCAGTTTTATCTTAAAGACGTTTTGTGTGCTGATTGATTACTTTGGGGTTACGTGTCCGGTTTAAACACGAAATTTGTAATGCAAAAGCAAGCGGACTTTGGCTGGTCTACGGCATATTTTTAAGCAAGTAAACATGTTAACGTTCCAGTCGTTATACATACTCGTGAACATCATGTATGTAAAATATAGCCTACGGCCCCGATGCGATGTGCATCAGGATCGTGGTCACAGCTACCTTAATAAAAACCAGAAATCGTTTTTTGGTAGATGCCTATGTAATGTAGGTGAAGAATACATATGTGTAAATAATTTCAAACATTTTGTAAAAGCTACCTTAATAAAGAGTGCCTATTATAATGTAGAAGAATACATTTAAGACAAGGATGTGTGGAAATTCTTGCTCTGCAATTTTGCAAGTCCCCTAGCTTCTGCTAATTTTATACTTAAATACTTTTGTGTATACACTTACATAATTCAAAACAAGAAAATAAAAATAAGACCGTAGAGTTTATTGCCGGTTATTCTCTGGACAAGCCTATTTTAATGAATCGGTGGTAGTTTTTGACGGTCAATAAGAGCTGAAAATAAGCCTATATTGAATAAAGAAATTTAGACTTTGACTTTGTGCATGACTAAATTATATAAAGAAATATTTATTGGGGTTCTGGAAAATCCAAAATATTTTTTTTTAGAGTACTTTTAATGAGTTGAGTTTTTATGAGTGAGCACTTTTAATGAGTTTGCGCATGTTATAATATTTAATTTTGATAGAGATCCGTTCAAAAGCAGACACTCACGGAGCACTCAAGATAGTTTGACCCAAATTAATTGTGAAATATAGGAGGAATTAGTTAGTCTAGCGACAACATTGTGAAATACAGGAGGAATTAATATAGAGACAACTTAATATGTGAAGCTGGCTATTTTTAATTATAATCTTATTTCATTTAAAACGTTCTGTGGAAATAATGAACGTAAATGTTTGGTTTTCCATTTCAGGGCGACAGTGGAGGTCCGTTAGTGGTAAAGAATGATGATGGCCGATGGGTGCTTGTGGGAACAGTGTCCCACGGCATCAAATGCGCCGCAAGATTCTTGCCCGGCGTCTACATGAGGACTACCTACTATAAGCCCTGGTTTAGAAGCATCACGGGAGTGAAATGAGATATATACGGTATATGGTATCATAAACTTCCTCACAACCTGGTTACGTTAAAAGAACTAGCTGTAGCTTTATATCAAACTGTGATTCCGACAGTCCTGTTTCGGTCTTATAATAATGTTGGAATTGATAAATCCGATTCAGTGTTAGTTTCTTCCGTAGTTATCGAAAATACGCAAGTTGTTAAATGGTTCTTTTACGAATTTGTAACACAAAAAAGAAGTAGATTTATTAAGATCTTGTTGTCATCGTAGGTATAGGGTTTTTTATAGTAAAATCAAATATTATTAACTTGATGGCGCTCTCTATCCAATGATAGATAGAAATAAAAAATATGATCTAAATGGTCATGCAATAAAATATAAATATGTTGTACGATATAATGTATTTTACTAGTAATAATTTGTACATTAAAGTGCATTTATTTATTTACTTTAAATAACAATATACATAAATTATATAGCTTTAAGAATGACCAACTAAATATTAAAACATGATTAACTTAAGATTTGTACAATAGTAATAAATGTGGTCCTTGTAGGTTGAAATGCACATTAATAAAAATAAGCAACGTCAATAATTCAAAATTGATCACTAATTAAATACTATTGTAATCGCTCAACTTATATAAGTAGAAAATGTTAATTATTAAAATGACTGCTACGCATTTAATAAATATTTAAGAAGTTAGATGGTGTATCATTTTCATCTTATCCTAATAAAGCTGGGTTAATTACTTGTACACTGGAGATAGCCGAAGATGCTAGCAGCAATAACAAGATGCATCCCACGTGATTAAAGTCTATATATAAGATTCCATAAACAGATAATTGTCTACAATAATCAGAAAAAAAAAACGATAGATTAATTTTAAGTTTTATTTACAGTTATTTAATATTAAAATGAAGTCATTTATTCAGAATAGTAAAACTTTGTATAAAGTGACATTTGACATAATCTATAAAATTATCATATACGTAGGTATATGGACAATCGTTCATATTAAATCGTGAGAAAACAAAGAATTTTACAACATTTTAAATAAAAGACGAATATTTGCTTTATTCACATTTATTAAAGTACTAATGCAGATAGTTTTTATCATCAAATGGTTATCTATAATTTTTTTGTTGTTTTTTTTTTAAATTACATAATAGCTACATACTAGTCTAATAAGCATTTTATTTTTAAATGTTTTCTATATTTTCTACTTATTGTAATAAATTTCACGAAATATATGAAATGCAGTTATAACACCGAATAACGTCATAATTATATGAACGAATAAACATCGATATACTTCACTATTTAGCTGTTATAAAGTAATTTTATTACTACAATATATGTTTTGGTTTATAATGTTTTGTTAATATCATACAATATTTATTGGTTTGCACAGCAGTTTGATATTCATAAATTACAGAATAGTTTTTTAATTTTTTCATTAATTTTTGTACTTAATGTAGTCTACTTATACATAGCATTTAATACTTATTCAATTTGTTTACAATACAATACACAGAACTATGTCAATAGTAAATAACTAAAGGACTACTCAAGTACTAATTTCATTAAACATGGTTCCTAAGTTCCCACGTTCCTAAGTTCCTTCATGCTTAATAAAGTGACTGATATTAATCAGCCTAAAGAACGTCCCTAAGAATTAAAAATTTTATAGAATACTTATACCGTAAAAAGTAATAGAGTTGTGCATAAACCGAAATCACTTTTTTTCGACGACAACGAAAAGAAAATTGTTATGTTAAGGATAAATTAAAATAATCATGTAATAAAAATATAAAATTCAAATAGATATATTAACAGACTCGAGGTTGCGGGTGTAACTAATGAATTACTTTCCAATTTTTCCCTTGTAATGTAAACATTTCTTACAAATGGCATCAGCTCGGTCTCTTATTGAAGGCGAAGATGTAGTTTTCTCAGATTCGGGCTTGGAGTCTTCGGCTTCGCTGAACTGTTGAATTAACTTTTTAATATAATTACCAGGGCCTCTAATAGTAAGTTTGGCGCTACAAGCGTCGCTCTTAGTTTCAATTCTCTCATCTATATCCTTTTGTTGGAAATTCTCTAAAGCTTGCGTAATAGTCTCCCCTATAATGTGCTTTTCATCAATGTCATCGTAATGTCCAGGTTTTTGTGACGCTTCCATGCTGTTGTCGAAGCTTTTGGATGCGGTCGGTGTTATGGTTATTTCGTTGTTTTTCATGTCTATGGTTATTTTGGTGTCGTCGAGGCTCAAGCCCATTAAAGATACGTCCATGGATTTAGATCTGTGTGGTTTAGGTGTACAGGGTACTTGTAGTTGGTTTGTGTCGCTGGCTACTTCGGGCTTCGATCCGCTGATGTTTACGGGCGATGATGACTTTGATGATGGTTCGCCGGGACTCGATCCTGAATATAAATAGATTTGTTGTGACAAAGGAAATCGTCGATATTAAGACATAGCTATAGCCAAATGAAGGGGACAAAAGAATGTATGTGAAAAACTATTTATTTTCAGAGGTAAATTAAATGCTTCAAAATTATATCTTGGTAACATAACCAAGGTTCTCTCATTAATTAAGTGATGATTTGCCCATCAAGCGACATTTATCAATGTATTAGCAATTGACAAGATTATACAAATAAATAAGAATATAATCTGCACTGTTTATTTTGAACCCACCACCAAAATAATCGTGTTTCAATTACCTCAGTAATTAGCGCCAATGGGTTCACTCTTTGATCCTAAAATAGAGCATAAATATTAACTTAAGTTTACTTCCATGAATATGCCATGAATGCATTGAATTTATGAATTATGTCTCCTTTATGAACTTGAAAGGAAGGCATAAAAAATAAACTTAGAAAATAACCACAATAGTATAAAGCATAAATACAAATATGTATGAATCTAGTGAAAATAATTTAGTGTGAAATAAGCACTATTCATTATACTAATATATTCAAAGAAATCGCAACTTAATATAAAACGATGCATATAATTTAAATAAAGGAGCTTTTAAAAAGAAGTAGCATTAAAGGATATTAAAACGAAGTAAAAAGGTTAGAATAACAAGTTAGAAGAGGATCAAGCGTAATTATAAATTCATCGTAGTAAATTCTTCAATTTAAAGAACTCTTTAGCGATTAATTTTTCTACTCCAACGCAACTACTCCAATCTGCTATGAAAATTGAAACACACCGTTCAACACTGAAACGTACCGGTGGAGGCCTCTTCCCTCTCTTCTTCGGAACATTGAGGGAGCGATTGCTCCATCATGAGCCCCTGCACCATGTCCATGCAGGAGTCCAGGGAGAATTTCTTACCGCACATCTTGATACCGCGGATGCGTCGGCGCATCTCTGACATTTTCGTACCGTCATTGGTTAAATGTACGAAAATCACAACAATATTCGGGAAACTTTTTTCAAAGACATTAATCAATGAGTGAGATAAATAATCGACTAACCTTTCGATGTAAATGTTTCTAAAACTTTTGTAAACATGATTACAAAAATTTTACAGTTAAAGATTTTTTTTGTATCCATCGATTTATGTATTTATACTATATATTACTTCCCAAATGTTGCAGTAGTATATTGTTATTTTAGTTTAGTATATTTTTAGTGTATTGAAGATATAATATGTGCAATGAACTGTAAGTATAATTAGATCGATTACGTCAATATATAATATTGATATCGACACATTGATTTTATTTACGATGTTTGATAAATTGTTACTAAAAGCATGGACCATATGCCCTGTTAGTAATGAAATTGCATTTATGATTTTTTACATACCAGGGCTGTCTTTCGGCTCCATCTTCAATTGGGCAAAGGTTTGAGCGCAGGAATTGAGAACCTGTTCATAATCGCAAATAGCAACGTGGGTCCCATTAACAATTTTGGGACTCATCGGGCTATTGGCCAGAAGGAGACTCGTTCCAAAAGTTGCGTTTAGCTCACGCGTTTCTGAAGCCAAAAAATATTCATATAATTGTTTTGATCACATTTAAACAACCAACACTATCATGAATATAACAATATTGAATGTTTTACTCCCAATTAGAGACGCGATAGTTCGGGACCCGGGCACTCGCTTTAATTCAATATAGTCACCAATGAAATTATACAGTTAATATATATATAACTATACAAACCAATGAAATTTAATAACGATAACTTTAAGTGCTGACTTTATCACGTGCTTAGCGGTGGAGGAACATAGTAAGGAAACCTGCCTATTTTCTAAATAACAAAAAAAATACGTCGAAAATATGTGGAGATCCTTAGTGTGATCGCGTGATGGAATATGCCCTTATATAAAGGACCACTTTATAGAGAAGGTCGTTTCAGAGCAATGGGACATGTATAGGCTGTTACTTTTCTTTACTTTGCTCCTCTATAGGCCATATTAGAAATAATAGAGAACTTACCTTTTAAAGAGATTCTTGGTTTCTTTGGCACAACCACATTGCCATATTCTGATCCAAACATGTCGACTAAAATCTCAGACGCAACGGTTTTGATCTCGTTCCAATCGTCTTGAAAGTATAAAATTTTTTTATATAAGCAGCGTCATCACAATGTTTGTTAAATATAAATGCAATATGGGAACTTTTTTTCAGATGTAAAGAAAGAAATTATACTAATAATGTTAATATAATAATTACACGTATTATTGAGTTCAGAAGATGAAAAGAAAATTAACAATAAGGTCTCCTGCAATTAACTGTTATAATAGTAATATTTTTAGTTGCTCTTTACAGTCGTGAACTAAAAAAAGCATAATTCCACATGCTCAGCATTACTTATAAAATTTCGACTTACCAAGAATATCCTGGTTTGTAGTCCGCTGGGAGGTCACCGTGAAACGGATAACGTAAACACCTTTGAAGCATGCTGGCACCGCGTGTATATAGCCGCGCGCATTCAAACGCTTCAGCAGTCGCTCAGTGAGAGCATTGTCACCCTTTAGACGAAAAGCGACCATTCCTAAAAGATAGACGTTGGATTTATACAAAAAAATACCATTGTGTCATGTTTAATTAAGTTTATATAAAAAAGTACGTACCCAAATTCCTCGGCTGCGGTATTTCAAAACGTTGATCAGCTAAAACAAGAGCTTCGAATTTCTGTGCCAACCTTACACACTGTAAAAGATTTAAGTCATATATCTTCTTGTTAACGTGATTGATGTTAAAATACATCAAAGTTTTGTATATAAATACCTCGCGAATGTGCTTTTGTAGTCCCACAACGCCGTAGTTCCTTAGCACGAACCACAGCTTTAAAGCTCTGAAGCGACGGCTTAGAGGTATTTGCCAGTGCTGAAACGATGAAGGTATCATCTTAGCGATTTATATGTTCCAAATATGAAAAAGACGAGAAAATTAGTTGACATTACAATACAGAATTATCACCGCCTCCACATTACAAATCACACATAAAAATGTATACATCAAGCCTATTATATAACAATTGCTTGAACATTGAGCATTATGTTAATTACAATTTCTGTTATAAAAAAAAAATATTTTTAATTTTTTTTACATAAACACCCAAGCAATTATCCTATCAGCACCATCATCAACACCACCACCAATCAAGAAAAAAAAATCATACGAGTGGCTCTTTCTTATCCGGATTCTCCAGCTGAATCATTTCACCACATCCTGGTGACATTTTAGTGTAACCGTGAAGATTTCCCGATTTATCACCATAATTCTCAGCGTAAATTGTACCATAACTGGCGCAATTTTTACCATCAACGATTACTCCGTTAGATGGATTAGCATTTATTTCAATCTGTTTTAAGTTTTTCGATGTGTTCGAATTCTGCGTTCCAACCTATTATTGGGCATTCAAAATTTAGAGCTTAATAAGCCGTGATTTGTAATAAAAAATTATTTCATCAATCTTCATCATCATTTGTGCCATAACGATGTTAAAAATTCTGTTACATGTACCTTTTTTTAAATAAACTAAATTTACTTTAATTGATGTGGTATTATAATATATTTTAGAAATATCATAAGCTATAATTTGTGGGCGAGCTATTGTTTTAACTTTTAACCAAATTTAAAGATAAAAATAAAACATCTTGTAAAAATTATTCAAGTAGAAATTAATATATCACAATCGTATTTTTATAAAAATATAGTTAATTTTCGCACTTACCATGTAATCAATCGCTTTTCCTGAAACCATAAAAATATCATTATTACATTTTCCTATATTTTAAGCACTGCTTCGTCATCCGTATTAGCTCAGTGTTCGGCCGCTCGCTTTTAATTCAGTTTACACTCGAGCAACGTTCAATGATTTTAACGAGCGAAATTTTGTTGCTTGTTAAATGTAATTTAAAAGGCTGTGTAAGACAGCACACACGTACTCAGCGAAATTGAAATAAAAAAAAATATTTCGAAAATATGTGAAGTCTGGTGGTGCCAAGTGAATCACAGGTGGGGTTGCGTGGTAGACTATGCTCTCTACACAGGAAGTCTATAAACGTCCCAGCAGTGGGATACATGTATATAGGTATGTATATGTATACTGTATATGTATACTTCGCCTAACTTTTATATTTATGTACAATGGAACAAAAAGTTTTGCATACTGAATGTATACTGATAATTGTATATATCTGTTTAGTTCATGTAAAATTTTAATTGCATATGAAGCCGCGATTGATGTTGTAAATAAAAAAAAGATTACTTACCAGAGTTCTCGTGGCGTAAATAAATCGGATTCACATTGAACGTCCTATGAAGAGCAGTGCTGTCTTTCACCCTGTAAATGTTTTTATATATGAATGTAGACATTTGTATTATACGATACTGACTTAAGTACTTGAATGAGCAAGTAATTGTTAGTCACCTGGTTGATACAGTTTCTTTAATTTTAGATTGTATATAAAAAACCGGCCAAGTGCGATTCGGACTCTCGCACGTAGGCTTCCCTACGGTTAACTATAAAAACCGCAAAATAGTCTTGTCTGTTGTATGGGAGCCCCACTTAAATATATTTTATTTGTTTTTTTAGTATTCGATAATATAATTCAACTGTCTAACTATCATGGTTCATGAGATACAGCCTGGTGACAGACAGAGAGCAGAGCCTTAGTAATAGGGTCCAGTTTTACCATTCGGGAACGGAACCCTAAAAATCAGCATGTATGCAATTTCACTTCCAATAAGTCTTTTGTTTGGTGATAGTTCATTTCTGCGGTGAATAGTAAGTTGACTTTGAGTTCATAACTATGAACAGAATACTTTATAAGAAAACAAAAATTTTAAACAAACAATCTTTTTACCTTTTTACTTTTCAGTTTACCACGAAAAGTGGTTTGACAGATCAACTTACCACATGGCGGTACAATCGAAATTCACCATTAGCCACTTCGAGGGATTGAATGCAAACGAGTCCGCCATTTCCACGCCCTCAAGCCAGTGCCTGATTAATTATTTTTTTTTGTAAAATTCACATATGTACACGAAAAAACATGTTTATTTTGTCATTTTCATTTAAGACCATTGTTTTTTTTTTTTTCATTTGACTCCAAGGTATAATGTACAAGGCACACTTAAAAATTAAGAGAAAAAAAAACTAATACTAATGTAATTCAAATGAAAACTATAGTTCACACTTCATTTACGTGGTTGTTGCCCTCTTATACAGGGAACATATTTAAAGATACAGCTGTTTACAGTAAATATTCAGAAACTGATGGAATCTCTATTTTTATTAAGCGTGATTAGAGCCTATGATCTAGATCTAGATCACAAACCTAACACAATAAAATATTGATAGAAAAATGTTATATACCTATATTCGGGGCAAACAAATGCACTTCCAGCGTACGCGGCATCAACATGTAACCACGCGGAATGTTTCTCACAGACCTGTCCAATTTCCCGCAAGTTATCAAAAGCAACAGATCCAGTGGTACCCAATGTTGCGCACACCTGCAACCAGACTTAATTCTTAAAACTATTTTTTTCATTACATTATGCTACATAAGTATACCCTTCCATAATCACATGCAAACAATTTTGTAAACTGCAGAAATATTAGTTACTGAATATATAGCTATATGAATTCATGACAATACACAGTTTTTTTAATAAAAAAAACTTACACAGTTGTTTTAACAAAAAAAAAAACAACTGTGTAAAGCTTAATCAATAAAAGACCTTATATTTTTACTGAAACATTTTTTAACTAAATAAAATTTAGTAAGACAAACAAAACGCTACTCTAGTAAATCAGATCAAGTTACGAAGCGTGTCTTAAAACATAAACAAAATGTTCATTTAGCAAATATCTCATTTACCGTTACAAGACTGAAAACTGTAGACGATGCCTAATAATTATGTGAAAACACTATTAGCTAGGCAATTTTAAGACTCGATGTTAGCTTAATAACTTCTAAAATTAGCAGGATAATATCGCGATTCGCTTATAATTATACCATATTAAATTACGAACAGCCTTTTATACATATTAATTTTCAAATTAAATAAATAAATTAATATAAAATAATTATTAACAATATATAAGATATCTATAATATACAATATATATATATATATACAATAGCAATTATTGACTTATTGACAAAACAATTTCTTTTGGTCGAACAAAAACTGAATGCTTATTTTAAATAAGAAAAAAATCCCCCTGTCACAATATTCCCACTGTTCGCTTATCCCAAGTAATGGTTCCGCCTAATAATCTCTGCAATACAAATTGGCCCCAAAGGGAACACAGCTTCTAGTTCGCGTTATATTAAAATGATGAAAACAACTAATCTCTCTATAATGATCGCTTTAATTTGAGTGCTTCTGAAGATGTTCATTTTGAAATATTTACATCTGGGGAAGGGACGGTACGTAACAAGACATTTTATAAATAGAATTCTATTTAAGTTAAAAAATAGCTGAGGACAACTGTTTTCGGCTTGATAAATTGATAAATATTGGAAATCTATATATATAAAAATGAATTGTTGTTCGTTTGTCTCGCTAAAACTCGAGAACGTGTGGGCCGATTTGGCTAATTTTGGTTTTGAAATATTCGCAGCAGTCAAGGGAAGATTTAAATGATGAGAAATTATGGAAAAATTACATGGAAAATGAAAATAGCAACAATTTTGCCCATACCAACTGTTCCTACCCGTCAAAGATTAGATGCGTGCGTTCCGAATATTCTTTTTCTATATGTTCAGATTCATAAATTACCTCGAAATAATTTATTTGGCGAAACAAAGTTTGCCGGGTCAGCTAGTAATCAATAAAGACTACGAGGAATTTGTTTCTTATTTCAACGCGATATTCGTAGTTGACATTTAAAAAGATCAACACAGTTCTTATTTTAAACAGTATTTCTTTTATCGTATACTATTGTCATATATTTTGATGCATGGATAACGCAGTGATTACATTCTCTTTGGGATAACGTGCTTACGTTGGCAATTAATATAAGTTAGGAGTTTATTTTAAAAGTATATTGTTTCTCTGTATGTAATGGGGATAACTTGAGAGCTGCTTGACTTACTACAAACAGTTTATACAATAGGATATTATTGTGATGACGAATTAAATTGTGTTATTTTAATATTGGTAAATAACTCACCCAAAAAGGGGCAAGTCCTTTCGACTTGTCGTTAAGTATAGCTTCTTCGAGCTTATCTCCTCGCATGCTTTGGTGTTCGTCGGATTCTATGTATCGCATTCGTACCAATCCTTTAAAAAAGAAAAAAAAAATGATGAAGTCAAATTGAAGAGAATGATCGAAAGAATTAAAATTAACATCGATTAGATCCAATTTTAAACGCAGGTCAGATTTTATGGTACGGCGAAAAAACACAAACACCCTTATACACCCTGTTTCTAACAGGTACCATAAAATTTGTGCATTAAGTTGTAACTTACCTATTAACCCAGCTTTTTCCACAGAAGAATGCGCTTGGTCGGAGCAGTAACAGATTAAGTGTCCAAGCAGTTCCGAAGACTGAAGGTCTGGATTCAACTTGGAAAGCTCCATCAGAGCCTTGGTGCGTGCTGCTAGAAGGCTAACCAGGGTTGCTTCACTAGCAGTAGTCTATAGAGGAAAATATTTGCTTACAGTTTTTGATCCGTGAATTTAATTGGATGTGGTGATAACGAGTCAATTTTAACGGGTACCTTCAAATCGCGGTTTCAAAACCCAGTGATTTTGTTCCGATAAGTTTTTTGTTTCGGATCTCTGGAACTTTATCGGAGCCGTGATAAGACAGACAGACACAAGAGATTCATTCCATTTGATATAATAAACTATAGCACTTTGCTTGTAAGCAAAACATTTTTGATTACTGCCGCATATGAACATCTATGATAGCTGTGACGATGAAGATACATTGCCAACTTCTTAAAGAAGTACGTAAACTCAATGATTATTCATGCAATAGGTTACATAAATTAAGCTTTGGACATTAAAATATCGCAAAAGGAAACCAAACATTGACTCACTTGAATCACACCTCCTCCGGGGCTGTCGTTCTTTTCGTTGAGGAAGCATTCGGGAAGACCTAGAACCTTCCCGAGCCAATTCATGGCGATAGTCTCCAACTCCGTCCCGGCGGGCGATGAAGCCTTAATAAATAGTAGTGTCAGTTTTATTACACACAAATTCGTCTTCATCCATATTTCGTGATTAGTCGCCTCAGACTGCATCACTAATTACTAACAGGTGATATCGCAATAAAGTCTTTCACCTTGGTTTTTTAACCAAACCATGGAATGTCGTCATTTTGCATATACCGTACAGATATATTTTTTAAAAAGGCAAACGATTTAAACAACCACGAACCCTTCGGTTTTGCATTTGCGAACTATCTTAAAGGATTCTTCGCTTACCACACATCTATGAGACCCTGCAATTCCTTGAAAGAGCTGGCACATTCATGAAACAAAAGATGTTGCGGCATGCCTCTTTCATACAAACATTAAGGAATATACGAGTGGTTTTATTTTCTATAGTGCTTTATTGTTTTCTGTGTTTATTATTGATAAATGTGAGCTTCACCCTTGCATTTTAGGTTTTTAATGCTTTGTGTATAAAATTGTGTGTATGTATATATAATAAGACCGGAATGCAAATAACACGATTAAAAGATTGTGTAATGTTTTCGAATTTAAAAAGTGCCACACGTACCCATGTAAAACAGAGAACATTGAGAGCGCTGGAGAGCATCTCTCCCATAATAGAAGGATAACTGGTCAATGCAGGGAAGTATGCGTGCATATGCGGACTCTGCCAGTGGACAATCTATTAAACAATAAAACCATAAATATCACGTATTTTACTAAACTGTAATAAGATAAAACTGCAAAGAAAGATTGTTTACCAAGCACTTTTTGATCAGAATATCAGATCAGTTAGCCGTGGTTATTTGATTGTTAGGGTAAAGAGTAACACAAATTAAAATATTTTTGATAATGGGCATGCTATTTTTAAATATTTTTGTAAGTACTTAAAAATAACATCCACCAAACTTTCTTTAAAACAAAATGTATCTTTGCGTCAGCCAGCGTCGGCAAGTCGTCGTATTTTAATCAAATGTTTTATTCACGGTTATGTAAAAAAATACAAAGCACAATTTAAAATACACTGCAACGAATGTTTTGATGACTCCGTGGCGCAGTTGTCAATGTATTGGCTTCGGTGTCGGGGTTCGTGGGTTCGATCCGCACACGAGACAACTATTTGTGTGACCCACAGATAGTTGTTTCGCATCTGGGTGTTTGTCCGTGAAATTTATGTTTGTAGAACGACCTTACAACACAGGATAATGTTATCCTAAAGTAAGGGCTACGTTTAAAAAAAAACAATAAAAAAAAGAATGTCAGGAATAAAATCAAATGAAATGGTTGACTATATGGATGATCAAGTCTGTTTTAAGTGAGCTCGTTCCTAGGAGTCATGAAATGACGATCGGCGAACAACGTCATTTAAACCTACCCCAGGCATGATATGATCCTCAACGTCGCGGAATATGTCGTCCCATTTTTCAGGCATCTGCGGCGCTTCTTGGGGAAGTCGCTTATGAAGGTACCCTGGTTGGACGCTTGGATATACACGGTGGTCCCTGATGTTTTCCAAGTAATCTGCTATGTAATCCACCATCTCCTTGGCTATAATATAATGATACTTGAAATGAATACTTGAAACAATAACAAATGCAAGCATTTCATATAGTGCTTAATTATATTATTAAGTAGTAAATGTTATTTATTATACGTGGCAGTTAAAGGACACCAAAGCTGATTAACAGTTGAAATGTCCCTAGTGTAATTATGAAATAAAAAAGTAATTATAAAAGAGTACTGTAAACTATATAGAACATACTAATGAACTTTTTAAAATTTAAATTAAATGTGAAAGTTATTAAAATTCTTGTAAGTTAGCATTTCAAATATGTTCTTAGCTTTGATTATAAAGTAAAGTAAATAGTTTATCAGGGCATAATCCACCACCACCGCGGATTGGTGGACTTAGCTTATTTTCGATTTTTTTTGTAACTATTTCGGAAATAACCACCTTTCCTCACGATGTTTTCCTTCACCACTGTGAGGATAACAATTCACTGGTGCCGGCAATGAGGATCGAACTCAGGTAGCTCGAGTAAATTCAAAAAGGCGAGCACCCGGACACTGAGCTATATAACACAGCTATAAAGAATCCTCCACTGACAAAACCATTAACAATGGGTTAAGGCAAGGCAAAAAAGAAATATCTCTAATCGAATGAACTGTAGACAAACGGCACTCGATGTGAATGTTGCACAAAGAAACTATTCCATTGAATGGACAACTGCGCTCAAAGGACTTATTTACAGCTTATATGTGTTTAGCTTGGTGTTGGACGGTTTAGAAAAAAGAACTTATTCTAGATTGGATTTTAAAGTAGTGTTTAATGTAATTAAATTTATGTATAGTTCTAAATTCGTTTGGCGCTCATACAGTAATGATCAGTCGTGGCACAGAAATTCTATTAAAAACAAATCGGAGAAAAATATTTATTTAATTTTCTTCATTAATTCTCGCGAACGTAACGACTAACATTAATTAGACTTCACTTTTCGTGATATCTTAATAATGAGATAGAATTCGTTTTCAATACATTTCGCTTAATCAATTTCTGCTGTACAGCTTTGTCGTTCAGTTTTTATTTTTACCAAGAAAACGCGACAAGCAGTATCGTGTGTTACATTTGTTCAAATAAACCTGACGCGGGCGATTTGCCCATAAAAGAGGTTTAGTGTTAACTGACAAACAACTCAATATGCGAACATTCTAAACGGGACGCCAATGCTCGGGGATCAATCGAGACTCATTTCGTTTTATTATGCACAGTATATTGAATCGAAAATCATCCCTTGCATCAATCTTCCCATGTTCCCGTTCGCCTAAAGATTATTAGAACTAGTACGACTTTAGTTCCGACAACTTCGTAACGTAAATCAATTTTGGTAGTTTTAATGGAAAAAAACAGAATAATGTAAAGGAATAAAGATGAATATGGTAAATATCGTCCAATAGATGTGTTAGTAAACGTCTGTTACATAATTCTTACGCTTGCCAATATCTCTAAATGATGTTAAGATTTGTGAGAGAACAGAGAAATCCTTAATTTCAACATCAAGTAAATAAGTCGAGAACTTCTGTTATCCTACAGAATATCAGATTTAAGTTAAATGGTACGGAGCTATATTTAAAGGTTGCATGAACTATGCATCTAATACAAATTACTACACTTTAAGAATTCTATTTCTGTGTTTGAAGTAATTACTGAAGGACAATCGGTGCCTTTAATCTCTTATAATCACTCCCGTAATGATAGATCAAGATAATTAAGTTATGGTAACACGAGCCGATAAGTTCAACTAATTATTTGATTTAATGCTATAGGGCTGCCATGGTCATAACTAATAGATAGGCTTAATTATAAGTTAAACTTTAAACTACCTGTAAATAAAAAACTATTTCTTGAAAAATGGCACACAAAAATTCTTTGTCAACAATTCCAACTGAAATAACTTTTTTTATACAATTTAACATGAAGAAAGAGCATTTTTATTCAAAATAACTAGAAGTAACATAATATGATTACGTAATGATATCTAATATTCAATAAATAGAGAAACGCTGAAATGTTTCAGTCTTTCTAAAAGGATAAAGGATCGGATTTGATATTGATATAAATCGAAACAATTCTACTTATATATTTTACTTAAAAAATTAAATGAATAATTAGAATGTTGGTATAGACATTTCTTATATAAAAAGTAATATTCAACATACTGGACTCTTTCGGAAAGAAGTAATTTTATAATCAAAGTAAATATTTCAACAATACATACCTTTGACACGAAACTCGGTGTGATCCATTGCACTTATAAATAAATTGTAATATTCTGTAACAAGAGAAATAATTTTAATATTTACAAAGAATTTATTTCAAGGTTCTCATGATTTTTTATGTGGTATATTTTTCATTTATTTATACGGTGGCAAAAGTGCTGGCGATTCGCCTGACGTTAAGTTATGAACATCACCCATTGAAATATGCAACACCCGTAGAGTTACAGATGCGTTTCCACCTTTTATTAGAGTGGAACCCAGCAATCTCACTCACCAGACGAAACGCAGAAGCATAACACTTCTTCTCCATGCCGGTCTACTGTGAGCTCGTGGTACTTACCCGAACGGACCTACATATTCGTGCAACAGCGAAGACTGTTGCGAGGCCCTACCACAATTTAAAAACTAAGATAAATGTTGAAATCTCGATTTCATTTTCAAATTATATTCTGTGAACTAAGCATGAAATATTAAAGTTATATATAAATCATAGTAACGAACAAAAAGTCACAAACCATAAAAAATGTCATGAACTAAATAGGGCAGCTTAGTTAAACTTGTACAATTATCTAACATACAAAACTTAATTCAAACCAAAACCTCGTTTTTGATATCTATAGGTTGCTTTCTCACGATGAATAAAAGTTGCAAACACAAAAATAGGTCACGCTGTAATTGTGTTTCTCGAAAGAAGTGTGAACGTATCGAATGTATTAAATTTATTCATATGTTCGATTTAAAGATATATATGAATGTAAATTTCTAACTGAGGACACTAAAAACTGTAACAACGTCACTAAAATATGTTCACTGAGGCTACTTTTAATTTAGTAAACTACCGTTGTATCCCCCGTTTCGTACGTTACGAATGAGTCACTTGCCCGTAGATCTCGCACAGCGATGTATAAGTCATATCGACATTTCTTCTATGGCTTCAGCACAGCGTGGACAAGATGGATTAAAAAATAGTGTGCCCACTACAGCTGGTCGGGGGGGCCGTTTTAACATCATGTTACGTTTTAATCAATTTATTTAAATTTATTGTTTTATTACAGCACGTCAAGCAACCCGTATACTTCATGTATGTATAAAATAAATCGAATTTTAGTTTCTATCTCATATTATAATAAACGATTGTCTACGGCAGTGTAAAAGGTAATCGTTCGATCTAAGTAGGAACAAACAGTTATTTTCACTTCTATAATTTTATTGGGTAATTTTGGTAAGAAGCTGATGTAATGATAACTATGTTCATTCTCTATTGTACACGGCGTAATCTTTGGTATACACGACGATCTGGTGAGGTGGCTAATCTAATACCTACGAGATAGAGTTTCTTTTAAGGGTCAAGTTTTATTCCCATTACTTCTAGTGTTCCTCAGGGCTCTCATCTCAGACCATTGCTTTTAATATCTTTATCCCCGCCATGGTCGACTCTTTCTCTGAATCAGTGGTGATTTTGTATGCAGATGATACAAAAATATTTGAAATAAATCATACATATCAATTGTATTAATTTACAAAAGACTCAAACAGACTGATTATTTTTTGCTAAATTAATTATTTTTAAACATTGATAAATTTTATACCATATCGAAAAGATCTAGGAAAAATAACATTGTTTTTTTTCTTTAACTTTTTTTAATCTTACTTTCTGAAGAGATACTGAGGTGACAAATCTAGGGGTTCTGATAGATAGTGAACTTTTCTTCCATTTAATAAGTCTCAATTGGAGTATGCATCAATTCTCTGGAATCCACATTAATTTTCACATATTTATCTAAAAGAAAAGACAGTATACTTTCGTCAGGAGGACTAAATATGGATTTGGTTCGGAGTTACTCTGTTAAATCAAACATTTAAACTGTGATGGGGCAACGCAACAGCCTTTACTATAGCTCAAATGGGCAAGTCCGTCAGGGGGAGTACCATGACCTCACAGACGACCGGCGAGAAGTGGAAGTGTTACATTTGTTTTATCTCCCGTCCATACCAGTATATCTTTGTAAATATCGTTAAGAGGAGATATAAAAATTGTTTATTTCAGATGAAAAGTGAATAGCTAGTGGTGAAAACTTTATTGGCCTACTTGTATGTATAACCTTTTTTTTATTATTTGCATCGAAATTTTTGTAAGGTTTACGCAGGAGAGTTGGTTCTTGCCTTGCTCAAAGGTTAATCATAACTACTCAGCGAGGTAATGCAGCTAGCGTTTTTGGGACCATGCCGTGTGAACTAAATTTATTAGATAATATGTAATTTAGTTACAGGTAATGTCGTAAATATTGGATAAAATAAATGTGTTTTTATTTATTTAAAAAAAAATTACGTTAATCCTCTGTATAAATGCTTTATGTTGTGTAAACCAATACAATATAATAAGATATTTCTTTTGTGTAGTATATATATACGTATAACTAACTTCCTTTAATTAGTCTACTTTCGTTTAATGAAATTCAATATCAAGTAAAAGTTGGGCAAATATCACAATTAGAATTAATCGAAGCCACTTAAACAGAACATAGCAACAAATATAGCAGGAATCGTAAAGAAAATGAAAAATCTTCTAACATTAATCTGTGGAAATAAAATGAAAGCAGTCCATCCACGACATATTATGATATATCGTCTTCACTGTTGACTTTACGCAAGTTTATTTAGAAAATTTCTATTGCTGGCGTAAAGTTGGTTACTATTTAAAAAGCCTCTATTTGGAGCCTATATGTGGTGTATTCCCATTACGTTTAAAATTTCCGCCAAAAATGAAATGGTTGAACGATACGTAAAACAAAAACAAATTGCACAGAATATAAATTTAATTTTAAAATATGTAATATTTTACCATATGAAATAAATTCAAGAATTAGCGTGTTAAAGATCTACTACGTGTTAAAGATATATCTACTTTTAAGTTCTACTGCATTTAAATTTGTAATCAATTGTTTCCGATATGTTTAACTTCATAATCATTGAAAAATGTGAATATGTTAAATAAAAAAAATGTATACGTAATGGCAGTACATTATTAGACCAACTGTTGATATTAATTGTTTACATTGCACTGTAGAAACTCATTTATTTTATATTAATAATATTAATCAACTTGTTTACAATGTTCATTTTAAGTGTTAAGATTTTCTGTATTTTATTAAAAATAGGTCAAACACATTTCTTAATTTATATTTCGATGTATAAAAAATGCCAATATGATGAATATTATTAATTTACGGAAAATACTAAATTTATATTATTGTATCACTTCTTCGCCTTTTCTTTTAAAAATCGTATTGAAGCGACAAATACTTGGTTGAAATAGGTCTTTTATTTATTAATTATACTAAAAAAAAAGTCTTTAGTTTAAAATGTATGTTACTATAAGACTCTATAAGAAACAACCTTACATTACAGATTAACCAATTAACAATGTTATTTTTCCATAATGTATTAAAAAGTAAAGTAGGTAAGGAACACGGACAAAAGAAATATATTAATTTATCATTTCTCTAGGCCGTGCTAAGCAACTTTATTATTTTGAAAATGGCAACTTAAATGTGATTGTAGAGAATTTTCTTTGTTTTGATGGTTTGTTTAATTTAAATATCTTAAAATATTCTTTATATTTACTATAGATAAGGCACTCTATTTTTATTTAATACTTCTTACATCAAGGAAATAAAAAAAATCATAAATACTTACTAATCCTCAATTGCAGTAACTTTCACAGTGACACAGTCAATCTATATTTTTTTATATTCTTTGAATATAGGACGTTCGGGTAACACTGGATGCCGGTGGCGTAGTGTAAGGCTTATATAGGGGTGGTAGTTGCGCGACAGATAGATAGACTGGTCGTTGGACGAATCACAGCACGGACACATTGTTGTACTGAAGCGGTTTCATATATAGCGATTTAGCCGTACACGTTTAAAAATACAATGACCATTGTTGGAAACCGGGTAGGTCGTATACCTTGAAAAATCCCGAAATACCAGAGCTAAATTAATTCCGCAAATATCAAATAACAGAGACTGTTGTTGATATTAACGATAATCTATAATACTACATCTAGTGAGCAGAATAAAGAAAGTCAATTTTAAATTCGAGTGTATAAAGCAATAAGATGCGCGCTACTAAATTGATTCCGCTAACTGAGCTATTTAGTAAATTAAAAAACAAAAATGTCAATCGCAGAATCATAATAAAGAAATTTGATGGATTTGTCTAAGGGATAACGTAGCAGAAGAGTACGTGGTCAACTTGATTTCCACCTGTCATGATCAAGACAGTTAAATGTGATTGCAATTACGTTGTCAACCTTTCAGAGGTTCAGTAGAGTTTCAGAGCTATGTGGATATTCTGTGTGTTCTGTGACCATATGGTATTTCTCTGCAACGCCGCAGTCATGCTGCCTGTAACAAGTTATAAAGTCAGCGAGTGTCACAAATTGACATGACTTAAAATTGCGTTTGTAAATAACTTCATTACATCATAATAACAACATTATTTGAAATCCATATTTCTGCTCATTACATTTATCTGTTTTAAAAAGTACTCGGTTCGATAATTAACTAATCTCAACTTTTTTATCTTTCACATAATATTACATTTTGATGTAAGATCATACAGCGGATTTTGCCCGCCTCCGCTTTCGCGGAATGCCGACTTAAACAGCTGGAGGACACCAAACTAGAAAAATGTTCGCCGTAAATATTTTTAATAGATTTTCCGGGTGAACTTCAACAGATTATAGGTCATTATCTCACATATTATGTTAACACACTCAAATTTTGTAACATAGCGTAATACTGACGTATCATTGATATCTGCCATCTTTATCTGTTATTTTGTTTATGCAAATGGTATTTATTGGAATTATTAATAACAAAATTAGTGAATAAGTGAACACAATATAGTGCTCTATTTATATTTTTCTTGAATCACTCGTAGATCAACACATTTTTCTGACACTATGTCATTAACGAAGTTTATAGTTTAAAAATAATTCATGGTCTTTCTGAACCGTTACG